TTGAAAAGCAAGGCTGTTACTTTAAGGACTAAATCGCACCTGACCCAAAACTTGATATTTTCAGTCACCCCATATGCATGTGAAAGCCGGACAATGAATAAGCAAGACCAAAGAAGAATTGATGCCTTTGAATTACAGTTTTGGCAAAGGATATTGAATATACCATGGACTGCTAAAAGAACAAACAAGTTTATCTTGGAAGAAGTACAGCCAGAGTGCTGCTTGGAAGCAAAGATGGCGAGCCTTCATCTCCCGTACTTTGGACATGTTATCAGGAGGAACCAGTCCCTGGGGACGGACATCATGTTTGGTAAGGTCAGCAAAAAAGAGGAAGACCCTTGACGAGATGAATTGACACAGTGGCTGCAACAATGGGCTCAAACACAGCAACAGTTGTGAGGATGGCACAGGACTGGGCAGCGTTTCTGCTGTGTTGTACATGGGGTCACTATGAGTTGGAACCGACTTAAGGGCATCTAACAACAACAACATAATCCTTTTGAAGAAATCAGAACATTTCTCTACTTCCATCCTTCTGATGTTTCTGTTTTTATTCAGTGAAACCAAACCAAACCCATTGCCCTTGAGTCAATTCTGACTCATAGCGGCACTATAGGACAGAGTAGAACTGCCCCATAGGGTTTCCAAGGAGCGGCTGGTGGATTCAAACTGTCGACCTTTTGGTTAGCAGCCAAATGCTTAACTATTGCACCACCAGGACCCCGGTAAAACCCAAACATCTGAAATTTTATAATGCACCTAAATAACAGTTGAGTCAAAGAGTAAATCAGAAATAAACAACAGACTATTTTGAAAATGGAGGGTGGAGGAGGGAGACTTGGATGCCATTGTTATAATCAGATTCAAATGTTTAGTTTTAAAAACTTTCATTGGAAAAAGGAAGGGATGAATAAGTGAATGAACAACCCAAACATTCAATCGTAGGGAAGACAGGGAAAGAAATAACAAAGAAAAATATAAATTAGAAAGCAGAGAAAAATAAATTGAAAACTGATACTTTGACAAAAATATAGACAAATTTCTTACATTTTTATTTTGAAAAGTAAACTAGTTTTAGATATTTAATATCAGGCCTTAAAATAAAAATACAAATAAAAAGGAAATAAGATGGTGTTAAGATTTGGGTACAGGAGAAGGAAAGGTATAGAGAATTTTTAAAGAGGTGATGTGGTTTTAAAAGCTTCAGAACCTGATTGAAAACAGGTTGTGGCACTGGCAGTTAAGAAGCCATTGGGAACCCTGGAAGCTTTTTTGGGCGAGTGCAGGTTAGAAAGACAGACTGCAAGAGATCAAGGCAGCAAGAGTCAACCACTTCCAGAGTTTCAGAAACCAAACAAAGGGGCCCAGCAATGATGCCAGGTCAGTGTTGGTTTCTGGTACAGGTGTTTTCAAGCATTTCAGGAAATGCTCCTGTTACTATGATTTAACCTGCTAAAGAAAGTTGTGCTAGAGTGAGTTCTTGACACAATTTCAAAACAGTCCCTCCTAGATGGTACTATTTGTAATAACAGTATGTTGTAGGCAGTAGTAATGAGAGACTGATTACACAGAAGTGATCACTCATTAGATTTGATATTCAGTGTCTTGTTAACTGCAAATTCCACTTGCTGTTTATTTCAGTACTATTTATACACACATTGAGCTCCATCTTTAATCCAATCCAGTCCGCTCTGTCCATAAGATCTCTGATGACTGTATTTTCATTAATTTAGCATACATGACTTAATAGTACATATCACAGCCAATAATAAACTGTTGAAAATTGTTCTATGTTTCATTTGAAGAATACTACCCCTCATATTTCAGATCTAAATTAGCTAACCTTGCTCAAACCATTAGATTAAAACTTATCATGCCTGACTGAGAAAGATGCAATGGATAGCATGCTTTCCTTGAAGTACGTAGTTTACAGGTCTTTATATCTCAAAAATGCATACAGTTGGCTTGAATGGTTGTTTTTGCAAAGAAAATATTCTTCTGGAAACAGTTGGTAGTGGATGAGGGAGAAAATCATTAAAAAAAACCATTCAAAAAAGGAAAGCTATGTTCATCCCGTTTTAAGAGCTATTCCGATGAAAAATTGCTCGGCATGCACTTGATCTATATGTTTTTCATGGTTATTAGTAACAAAGATGCATTAACCATATTCTCTTGATAATGCTCTAGCAGTTTCTTAGTACTTTTATCAACATATAAATTCTACAGCTGGCAGTATGGGAATTTGACTAGTACATTTTTGTTTATAAAAAAGGGTAACAACATTATAACTTCTTCATATTTGTGAATTATGAATCTTGACTTGCAGACAAGCAACACTAAAATGTAACACAACTGCAATATCATGATAACTCTTCTTTCTACTGTCACTCACAAGAAATGGGAATGCAGGCAGGCTGCTGACTGGAATACAGTGCCGGAGGTGAATGCCTCCTTCATCCAGAATTGATGGGTTCCTTTCATGGCATTCATTCATTCTTCTCTGTAAACATGTATTGAGTACCTTCTCTCAGCTAACCACATAGTATCTCTAAGATGAGAATGCTCTACTTCATTAGAAAGCAGCTGGAAACTGAAAATAAGTGGGCATAACCTCTGCATATTCTGAACTCCACTAAGAAACTTTATTTTCAGGAATTTTTGGAAGAGCATTAAATAGCTAATTCTTTAAAGATAAAACTTGATGCAAAGGGAGCTATTTGAAAAATGATTTTTTTTCACATTTCGTTAAGTTATAAATGAATAGGTCTTTTTTTTATAAAGCTGAATTTCAGGTTTTAAACTCCAAAGAAATCTAAGTCTCCAATACCTAGCCCATAATATTAGTACTATTAGAAAAAACTTTATGGAAGGAAGAAGTATGGTACTCTTTCTCTTGTTATTATAGAACCATGGATCAGCTCTGTTTTAGAGCTGTATTAGTAATGCCAAGGATACAGCTATCATATAAAAAGGAGGAGAATTACTTTGGAAGTGCTGCCAGGTAGATATGGGAGAAGGAAATGTAGTAAAACTCAAGTTAACCAAAATCAAATAAGTGGATCCCTCAAACTTGGTTTTTAGTTTCCACTTTTATGAAAAGAAGCAAAGTGTGAGAAAATAAACTTCTATTAATGATTTGGGTGATAAAAATACCAACTTTGGTATTATTGTGGGGTTGGATTACCTCCTACACCTACAGTAATTTATAATCATAACTGATCTTCACGATACTAGCTCTGAGATACTACAAGATTATGAATCATTTGGAAAATAAAAGTTCATTTAACAACTATTTTCTTGATGTCCTCCATTTGCTGATACAGTGATAGCACAGGCATGCCAGCATGGCACACTGTGGAAGCCAAGAAGGGGTGGGGGGGATAGGAGTTAAGGGAATTGGTTGCTGCTAAAAGATAGGGTAAAATAAGAATGGACTTTTTGATCTGCATGGAAGAAGTCATTGGAGACCTTGAGGAGTGGTTCCAGAGCAACGGCCACAACCAGATTTAGTGGGCCAAAGACTGAGGAAAAAGGAGTAGCAAGTTAAGATACCTCCTTCAAAAAAATAGGCTGTGAGTAAGAAAGAAATGACTGAAGAAGAATGAGGGTTCAAAGGAAAAGTTACACGTACATACACGTGTGTGTGCATGCGTGCGTGCGCTAATGGGAATGATACAGTTGAGAAAGGAGCAAATGATGGTCCAGGGGAGGAGGACTGCAGGAGCAACAATCAGAGATGATATCCAGAGCACAGAGGGAGAGATTGGCCATGGCTAGCAGCAGGGACTCTTCTTCCACTGTGGCAGGTGAAAAGACAGACTAAGGTAGATGGGAGGCATTGGGGCTCAGTGGTAGAATTCTCACCTTTTATGCAGGAGTCCCCGGTTCGATTCCCAGCCAGTACACCTCATGCAGCCACAACCCATCTGTCAGTGGAGGGTTGTGTGTTGCTATGATGCTGAACAGGTTTCAGCAGAGCTTCCAGCCTAAGACAGACTAGAAAGAAAGGCTTGATGATCTTTTTCAGAAAATCAGCAAATGAAAATCCTGTGGACCACAACAGTCTCAGCCACAACCTGATCATGGGGATGGCTCAGGAACAGGCAGTGTTTCCTTCCATGTGTGCTGCATCTGCATGAGTTGGGGACCAGCTCAAGGGCAGCAGAAACAACCACCATAGATGCAGTCGCCATTTAACAAATACTAATAAAGTGCCTCTAATGTTCTAGGCACTGAAAATGTAGCAGTTTGCGAAAGAGACAAAAATTCTTGCCATCATGAAACTTACATTTGAAAGGGGATTGGAGGAGGTAGACAAATAATAACCAAATAAGTAAAATACATGGTATGTCAGATGATGAAAAATGCTATCAAGAAAAGGGAAAGGGGAAGGGAGATGGGGAGTAGTGAGGTGGGTGGGGCTGGGTTGAAGCTTTAATGACCTGGACACTTGACATAACTTCTATGAATTTACTTCATGACTCTCAGACACATTTATTTTTCAAAATGAGATTAAATTTGACTTGGTTCCAATGTGCCAGGGCATATGGAAAATCTACTTGGAGCCTGCTTCGCAGGTGCCCCCTTCTGTGAGCACCCCAGGGCTTACCCCTTTATAACCCTTACCTCACATTTTAATCATACATTTATGTATGTGATTATTTGATTAAGAATTTTCTCTCCTACTAGACTGGAAGCTTCATGAGGGGAACTATGTTCTAGACAGTTGTGTCCCCAGAACCTAGCACAAAGTTGGCATGTAATAGGCTCTGTTTGTTGAATGAATGAGAAGTACGAAGACTGTTTTCCACAAGCCACATTTTTAAGAATTTGATTAGTATTTTGTTTTTGCTTCTCACTATATGTAACTGTAACGGACCTAGCAAATGGCCTTTTTCAAAGCAGATAAGATACGTTTTTATACCAATGCAGTATGTGAAGTAGAGGTGTCTTCTCATTTAAATAATGTCTCTTCACTTAATTTCTGTTTTATTTTCCAGGACCAATGCCAAAGGTGCTCCCTTGAACATAAATAAGGTCTCCAATAGCCTGATTAATTTTGGAAGGAAGTTGATTTCCCCAGCAGTGGCCCCAGGCAGTGCGGGTGGCCCTGTACCTGGTGGCAGCGGCGGCAGCTCCTCCACCGCTGGGATTCCCACCCGGACCTCAGCAGAGGCCCCGAAGCCTCATTTACAGCAGCAGCAGCAGCAGCAGCAGCAGCAGCAGCAGCAGCAGCAGCAGCAGCAGCAACAGCAGCAACAGCAGCAGAGGCTGATGAAATCAGAAAGCATGCCAGTGCAATTGAACAAAGGTAAGGAAAAAATACTAGTAAATCCGAAGAAAACATGCTGTATGCCCGGGACTTCCTCACCTGCCTATCCAGCCTGCCAGAAATACAAATGAATGCAAAACTTAGTAAATAAGATGCTATATTTTTATTCTTTTTAATTTGGAATATCAGATCCTGTGGTTTTCTTAATTAAGAACGTTTTATGAAATAAGTTAAGATTTTTTTATCATTTATATCCTAGTATATAAACACGTTTATATCTTATGAGTACCCATACAGTATGAAGGCACAAGCTATCAGAACTCAGAACTTGAGATCAGTTGACTCTGTTCTCTACCAACTTTGTATAAAAATGCTCTGACTAGAATCGGGATGGAAGTGCTAGTACCATGAGCATTACTAGTCATAGCATTCACCAGTGTGGTGCGGTGGTGTAGAGGAAGCTTACCATCAGCCTTACCATCTCTGACCCAACTGCTTCACCTCTGAGGAATACAGGCTAGAACCTTAAGGGAAGAAAAAGCTAAATAAAATCTTGGGCAGCTGAAATAACTGTATGAGTCCATGCACTAAACGTTAGAACCATAGAATGTTAAGAGCAGAGGAAAACTGAGAGAGCCTCCTGTCCGTATCTCTCATCGTATGAGGGAGAGCAAGCGCCTGCCCAAGGTCACACAGCTTATTGTAGCACTCCTGCTACTGAGACTCAGGTAGGCTCACTTCTGTCAGGGCCCTTTCTAGTGCCTCATCTCCCTCGTGTACCTTACTCATAAAAAAGCTCTTCAGGTTCTTACTCAGAACATTTGTACTCTTAATTTTTACTTATTTTCAAAGAGACAGTGTATTAGCTCCTCCTATTCATAGAAACAGCTACATTTATTTTTAATGGTAGGACTCTGCTATCTGTGCTATTCAAAACCAAAACCAAACCCATTGTCATCAAGTCGATTCCAACTCATAGCTACAGAAACAAGAAATAGTAACTTAATGGCAGAAAATCTACAAAAAGCAACTCTGTAAGACCTCACAGAGCATACAAGTCTGGGACCGTTTAGTGTTGGGGCAAACATCCTGACACCTGCCTCATTCCTGTCTTAATGGGATCCCTACGTTAAGCAATGTTTACTAACTAGTGTTGACAATAACACTAGTAACGTTGAATCAGTAAGAAGATTGTAAACAATGTTCCATATACTCTGTTAAAGAAGAGATTGCACCCAAAATTATGAAAATTTTAAAGTATAGACATTTAAAATGGTAAACTTAAGTTATATGGATTTTATTTCCCACTGATGCAAGATAACGAATATTACTCAATAGTGAGTATGTGTATACGTGTAGTCCTTCATTGGTTATATCACATTTTCTCTTTTCTATAGTTTTTTGCCTATAGGAATATTAAACAATATAATTAGTATTTAAATTTTATTAGAATATTCAATTTACCTTATGTAAGAATATCTTGTTTAAATTAAATTCTTTCCTGTTTAATGTAGAGCTGTCACACATGATTTAAAGAAAAGGAGACTTCAAATCATTAACATGTTTTAAATGTATTTTAACGCCAGGAGACATGCCCACTTCTAGAATGAAAATGAATGTTATTTTCTGTATTTCTTAATTGTACTGTTTTATTGTTCTAAACAAATACGATTTCAATATTGCTTTGATAGCAAGCCGTAGTCAGTAGTAATTCTAACTGATGGCAGGCAAATGAGTCAGAGAATCTCTTAATGCTGTAGCTTAAATTTTCTGAGGAACCAAGCCAAATGACTATAGAAATATAAAGTTGTGTCTCTAAGGAAATGTCAAGTATTAATATCACAGTAAGTGAGAAAGGAAGTGCATGAAGATGGAACAACTGATGAAAACCAAGTCCCCAGTTATAAGGAGACAACAGAGCACTTAAGCAAAGTATTTGGAACATGAGGATCACTAGGGCTTTTGTAACTCATCCCTGTGCTGAGAGAAAGTGGCCTTGTTTGGCAACTCGTCTGTCTTTTTATTTATGGTTCATACTTCTCATGTCAATCTCCCAAAGAAGCTTGTCTGCTTTTGTATTCAAAGATGAATATTCCTGCTAATGTCCTCCCTGCAGAGAGGTTTGAATAAAATAGAGTAAAAGGCGGAGTTTATAGAAGTAGAAGCTAGTGTGGCTGGATGCTCTCCCTCCATTCACCCACCGTGGGACCGTCAGCAAAACCCTGAAGCTCTCTGACCCTTGGTTCCCTCACCATGAAATAAGGTTTGGACTGATCCCTGTGGAGCCTCTCAGCTCTAAAAATCTATGGTTCTTTTGGTGAAAGATATGTTTGTTAACTCTACCATGAAAAACAATTCTCCAACTTTGGTTCTTTATGCTGGTATCTCCACTCTGCCGCCACACTGACAAATCTGCAAGTGTGGCACCTGGTCCCAGAGACGAGTGAGCACAATATTTAGCCTGTCAGGAGACTTGTGCTGGGATATGACCTCTAGCTATCCCAGAGTGGTCATCTGCTTAGTGCCTTTAAGGAAAGATAATGTAATGGCCGTTTTACTGTTCTCTACTAGAAAAATTTGGAAGTTGTTTTGAAGAAATGGTTGTTTATGAGGAGGAAAAGTGCATATGGTTTTCATAGATTAGTTAACTCTTGATTATTTGTGCTTACATTGGGAACAGTTACATGGAAAATGCAAAATTCACGTATGTATTGCTTGAAATGCATTCTCGTGTGGTTTGTGTATGTGTTGGGATGGGGTAGTGAAGGAGGAAGAGGCCGCACAGATGTTCGCCCCTGATTTTCTGGGTGAGATTTAATATTAAGATGGGCTTTCAGTCTCTAAATGTTCACTAATAGGTGATTGAGAAGCAGCAGAATAAAATGGGGCCAAACATAGGATTGAAAATCTCTAGCAGATACACAGAATATAGGCACACCGTTTATCAGTGAATTGAGAGTTAACTATATTATGAAAATTCAGGACCTAGCTAGTTCTGTTAAAAGCTGTTTATCACTTGTTTGGAGTATGTTTCTATTTATAGATTTATTTCAGTTAAAATAGAAGAATGTAAATGCAGGCACTGTTAATTTATGGGAAGGATATAATTACAACCCAACAATTTCCAGATGAGCTGGCCATGGTGTAAATCATAATTGTAGCAAGTGGTCAGGGCACCAAGGGTATGTTATTTACCTCAGAAATTGAGTTTTTTTTTTTTTTTCATTGTATAAAAGCTAGAGGGGAGCAAGTCTATTAATCATACATTATCATACACAGAAAATGTGGTGACTTTAAAGAGGGCTTTTTTTTTTAGCTTGTTAACCTCAAAATAGCATAAGCCTTCAGATGGTGATATATCCAGAGTATGATTCTACACAGTAAGTGTGCTCAGTGTTGAACTTTGTCATCCAGGAAGGAAATCGAAGAACCAAAAGTCTTCTTTCTAAATGTTAGCGTACCCTGAGTTCTCAAGATTTCCTGTCACTTCCTTTCCTGGGCCCTTAAAATGCCTTCTTTTCTTCCTACTACTTCCTTTGTCTGTAGTTTTAATTGCCTTTTGAATTTGAATTATTCTTTATTTTAGGCATTTACTACAAGCCCAATTTGTAAATGAAATCTTGCCTATAATTACCATATCAAGTTAAAGGGTATGCAGTTCACAGGTTTATTTTTGCATGTTGACATTTCTGAGTACATGCGGTAACTTATGAAATCTTTTCATTACTTAATTTGAAATTAGAACATTTTGCTTGATATATAGGTTTATTTAGGTCTTTACCTTATTACTGAAGAAGTTGGTTTCAAGTTTTATTAATAATAAATTTTGTCTGATAGAGGAGGATATCAATTTCAAAAGCATGTCTATTTCTTAGTAAATGACATAATAACTTTTGGATAAAAATCTTTTTTCAAAAAGAACGATTCTTTTTCAGAAAAGAAATATAAAATTATACCAGTATTTGTAGCATCATGAAATCTGCTGAGCAAAATCTTTTGATTGCTGAAGTTTCCTGTACTCTAGACTAATAGAAACTTGTTTTTCTCTTTAAAAAGAAAAAAGCAGAAGCTTTTTAGGAAACACTTTTTAAAAAGTATTTCCCGTTTAAAATATATTAATTTTTCTAAGCTTGTATTGTATTTTGTGTCATATTTTTCGTAATTAGATTGATGAAAGTATTACAACATTAAGTATGAAAGAAAAGTAAAGTTGATTATTTCTTTTTTTATTAAATCTAATTTTTTTTTCTTATGAAATCCAGGCGATGTAGTTACAGGAAGCGATGCTCAGGTTTATGTTCCTGTCCAGACTCTAACTGACCTCCAAGGTACAGTTACCATGCCAACGTAGCAGTTCTCTTTGCCTGCAGTACTATCATTGCCTTTTCCCAAAACCTGTTTTTCACTCTGCCTGCCTCCATTCGTCCTGTTTTTATCAGTTCACTACCATTGTATAGCCACAGAGTGGCACTGTTGTTTAAAACAAAAGTCCCTCTCATGTCATAGTTTGGTGATGCTGAATCTGGCTGTGATGTAGGTTTTCTATTAATTGTGCACCAGCCTCTTTCCTTGCAAAACATGGTTCACGCTATATTTTGTGGTTATTTTAACACTACACTTCGTGTGACAGCCCACACCGAGGTGTTCTTGTTGCACAGGTGCTGTGTGACAGTATTTGACAAATTAGTTCTGAGATTAGACATCTTTGTGCTATGATTAGCCAGAGGTACTTACTATATTTTACCTAAAAGAATTACAACCTGATTTTGAAATAAGTTTTTAAGTACAAGCTTAGTATTATGAATTATAGTAACAGAATTAAAGGACAGCTTGACCAATCTCCATATACAGTAACTGGCAATGATTTAAAATATAAAGAGAGAACATTTTAATATTATATCATTTTGTTCAAAATCTAGAAAAAAATAGGGTATTTAAGAAATAGAAGCAATAGCAATCAACATTCAGCAGCTCTTGTAAAATTTTAAAACACACAAGTATTTGAAGTTGTTACTTTAGTCTTTTATTATATAATCTTT